CTTTACTGTCGAGGGAAGGTGAAAAATTAACTCTCCAAAAGTTCATTTTTACACTTTATTATAGTCTGGCTCTTAGGGATGCGTTTCGCAAGGTACTCCTTACATTTTCAAAGACAATTTTAGCGTAACATCGGAATATATACTCTTTGGGTGAGGTGGTGGATGGATGCCATATTAAGGGGGGTATTAATTAGGTATTAAATGTATCAACAGGGTAGCTTATGTTCCTTAGGTAGGGTCATTGAATGCCGTCTCTGCGTTGGTTCTGGGTCTTGAAGTGGGTAGAGTGTAATTATGTGCTATTTTTCAACTTCCCTCGACAGTGAGGAAAAAAATAAGAAATATTGAGAAGATTCGTGTTAGAATCATTAATCTTACTTTTTCGGTCATATTTAACAACATATGTTTACAAGACTGCTATCAAATTATATATATATATATATATATATATATATATATATATATATATATATATATATATATATATATATATATATATATATACACAAATATATATATATATATATATATATATATATATATATATATATATATATATATACAAATATATATATATATATATTATATATATATATATATATATTTATATATATATTATATATATATATATATATAACTGAAAACTCACACCCCAGAAGTGAACTTCTGGGGTGTGAGTTTTCAGTTGCATATGTCCTGGGGACCATTCAGGCTTGTTCGCATATATATATATATATATATATATATATATATATATATATATATATATATATATATATATATATATATCATATCCGTTCCATATCTGCTACCACTTGACTTAACACTTGAGGTACAAGGGAGAGCAACATCTCTAGCCCCGGGGTCTTGAAGAACTCCGAGGCAGCGGCTTGTCACCATCTCGTCACATTCTCAGAGTAGTCCAAATTGCTTTTCAACCCGTCAAAAATTTCTGACACATTATTTCACAGCTGACTGGCAATGATTATATCAGAATATGCAAAATGCATTTTTTTGGGGGACCCTTCTCGGAGGAAATCGAATTGGTATGAAACTACATTTTGTCTGTCCGGAGTTTAAAAGATTAATGATTTATCTGAATGGTAATTCTTGGGATGATAAATCACGGACCAACAGCTAGTGGGTCATTTTTCATCGTTCTTCATCACTCCAAGCTATACCTAAATATATCAGTGCGTGCACGCACACTCACACGCACGCACGCACGCACACATGGCAGAAAACAAATGGGCAAAGTTTCTTTCACCCTGAATGCCCCTGTTACCAAGCAGTAAACAGGTACCTGGGAGTTAGTCGGCTGTCACGGGCTGCTTCTTGGTGTGTGTGTGTGGTGTGGAAAAAAATAGTAGTTAGTAAACAGTTGATTGACAGTTGAGAGGCGGGCCGAAAGAGCAAAGCTCAACCCCCGCAAACACAACTAGGTGAACACAACTAGGTGAATACACACTCCCCCTGCCTGGAGCCCTTACATAAAGAAGTACAAAGCAAATATATGTCTATCTAAAGTCTAAATATATGCAACAAAGCTCATTCCTGAACTAAGGGGGACTGAACTGTGAAGAAAGACTGGCCCTCACTACACTGGTAGACAGAAGGAATAGGGCGGATATGATAACGACGTACAAGATACTAAGGGGGACTGACAAAGTAGATAGATAAGAAATATTCAAATCAATGATTAGTAGACCGAGAGAGACTGGAAACTGGAGATGTGAGAAAGAACTTTTACAGTCGTGTATAAGTGGACTGGACTATATGAGGAAGATAATTTGAACCGTTGAATTAAACTGCTGACGGTCGGAGGGCGGGGCTTAGGAGTTGATGCTCGACCCTGCAGGCTTAGGTTAGGGGAGTACACACACACACACACACACACACACACACACACACATACACACACACACACACACACACACACACACACACACACACACACACACACACACAAGACGAAGCTGGAAAAAGTCCAAAGGTATGCTACTAGACTAGTCCCAGAACTAAGAGGCATGAGTTATGAGGAAAGGCTGCGGGAAATGCACCTCACGACACTGGAAGACAGAAGAGTAAGGGGGGACATGATCACAACCTACAAAATCCTCAGGGGAATCGACCGGGTAAACAAGGACGAACTTTTCAACACTGGTGGGACGCGAACAAGGGGACACAGGTGGAAGCTGAGTACCCAAATGAGCCACAGAGACGTTAGAAAGAACTTTTTCAGTGTCAGAGTAGTTAGCAAATGGAATGCATTAGGAAGTGATGTGGTGGAGGCTGACTCCATTCACAGTTTCAAATGTAGATATGATAGAGCCCAATAGGCTCAGGAATCTGTACACCAGTTGATTGATGGTTGAGAGGCGGGACCAAAGAGCCAGAGCTCAACCCCCGCAAGCACAATTAGGTGAGTACAATTAGGTGAGTACACACACACACACACACACACACACACACACCTCCTGCCAACAAGGCCCAGACACCTACCAACATGGCCAGACACCTGCCAACATGGCCAGACACCTGCCAACATGGCCAAACACCTGCCAACATGGCCAGACACCTGCCAACAGGGCCAGACACCTGCCAACATGGCCAGACACCTGCCAACATGGCCAGACACCTGCCAACATGGCCAGACACCTGCCAACATGGCCAGACACCTGCCAACATAGCCAGGCACCTGCCAACATGGCCATGCACCTGTCAACATGGCCAGTCACCTGCCAACATGGCCAGGCACCTGCCAACATGGCCAGACACCTGCCAATACAGCCAGACACCTGCCAACAATGCCCAGACACCTGCCAACATAGCCAGGCACCTGCCAACATGGCCAGACACCTGCCAACATGGCCAGACACCTGCCAACATGGCCAGATACCTGCCAACATGGCCAGACACCTGCCAACATAGCCAGGCACCTGCCAACATGGCCAGACACCTGCCAACATGGCCAGGCACCTGGCAACATGACCAGACACCTGCCAACATGGCCCAGACACCTGCCAACATAGCCAGACACCTGCCAACACGGCCAGACACCTGTCAACATGGCCCAGACACCTGCCAACATGGCCCAGACACCTGCCAACATGACCAGACACCTGCCAGCATAGCCAGACACCTGCCAACATGGTCCAGACACCTGTCAACATGGTCCAGACACCTGCCAACATAGCCAGGCACCTGCCAACATAGCCAGGCACCTGCCAACATGACCAGACACCTGCCAACATGGCCAGACACCTGCCAACATGACCAGACACCTGCCAACATGGCCCAGACACCTGCCAACATGGCTAGACGCCTGCCAACATGGTCCAGACACCTGCCAACATGGCCCAGACACCTGCCAACATGGCTAGACACCTGCCAACATGGTCCAGACACCTGCCAACATGGCCCAGACACCTGCCAACAAGGTCCAGACACCTGCCAACATGGCCAGACACCTGCCAACATGGCCATACACCTGCCAACATGGCCCAGACACCTGCCAACATGGCCAGACACCTCCCAACATAGCCAGACACCTGCCAACATGGCCTGACACCTGCCAACATGGCCAGACACCTGCCAACATGGCCTGACATTTGCCAACATGGCCTGACACCTGCCAACATGGCCGGATATCTGCCAACATAGCCAGACACCTGCCAACATGGACAGACACCTGCCAACATGGCCAGATATGTGCCAACATGGCCAGATATCTGCCAACATGGCCAGACACCTGCCAACATGGCCAGGCACCTGCCAACATGACCAGACACCTGCCAACTTGGCCCACACACCTGCCAACATAGCCAGGCACCTGCCAACATAGCCAGGCACCTGCCAACATGGCCAGACACCTGCCAACATGGCCAGATACCTGCCAACATGGCCAGACACCTGCCAACATAGCCAGGCACCTGTCAACATAGCCAGGCACCTGCCAACATGGCCAGACACCTGCCAACATGGCCAGACACCTGCCAACATGGCCAGACACCTGCCAACATAGCCAGGCACCTGCCAACATGGCCAGACACCTGCCAACATGGCCAGACACCTGCCAACATGGCCAGACACCTGCCAACATAGCCAGGCACCTGCCAACATAGCCAGGCACCTGCCAACATGGCCAGACACCTGCCAACATAGCCAGGCACCTGCCAACATAGCCAGACACCTGCTAACATGGCCAGACACCTGCCAACATGGCCAGACACCTGCCAACATAGCCAGGCACCTGCCAACATGGCCAGACACCTGCCAACATGGCCAGATACCTGCCAACATGGCCAGACACCTGCCAACATAGCCAGGCACCTGCCAACATAGCCAGGCACCTGCCAACATGGCCAGACACCTGCCAACATGGCCAGACACCTGCCAACATGGCCAGACACCTGCCAACATAGCCAGGCACCTGCCAACATGGCCAGACACCTGCCAACATGGCCAGACACCTGCCAACATGGCCAGACACCTGCCAACATAGCCAGGCACCTGCCAACATAGCCAGGCACCTGCCAACATGGCCAGACACCTGCCAACATAGCCAGGCACCTGCCAACATGGCCAGACACCTGCCAACATGGCCAGACACCTGCCAACATGGCCAGACACCTGCCAACATAGCCAGACACCTGCCAACATGGCCAGACACCTGCCAACATGGCCAGATACCTGCCAACATGGCCAGGCACCTGCCAACATAGCCAGGCACCTGCCAACATGGCCAGACACCTGCCAACATGGCCAGACACCTGCCAACATGGCCAGACATTTGCCAACATAGCCAGGCACCTGGCAACATGACCAGACACCTGCCAACATGGCCAGACACCTGCCAACATGGCCAGACACCTGCCAACATGGCCAGACACCTGCCAACATAGCCAGGCACCTGCCAACATAGCCAGGCACCTGCCAACTTGGCCAGACACCTGCCAACATAGCCAGGCACCTGCCAACATAGCCAGACACCTGCCAACATGGCCAGACACCTGCCAACATGGCCAGACACCTGCCAACCTAGCCAGGCACCTGCCAACATAGCCAGACACCTGCCAACATGGCCAGACACCTGCCAACATGGCCAGACACCTGCCAACATGGCCAGATACCTGCCAACATGGCCAGACACCTGCCAACATGGCCAGACACCTGCCAACATGGCCAGACACCTGCCAACATGGCCAGACACCTGCCAACATGGCCAGACACCTGCCAACATGGCCAGACACCTGCCAACATGGTCAGACACCTGCCAACATGGCCAGACACCTGCCAACATGGCCACTCTACGCCACCCTTCACTATCGGCCATAGACCTGGCCTGGCCACCCTCACTATCACCACCACCATAAGCCCACCATCACCTCCATCACCATTAAGAGACTCCATCACCATCATTATCGACACAGTGGCCGCTCCCCCCTGCCCCTCACCCCTGCCCTCCCTCACTCCTGCCCCTCCCCCTGCCCCTCACCCCTGCCGCTCCTCCCTGCCCATGTGAGGTTCCCTGGCGCAGGGGTGAGGGGCAGGGTCCCCCCTGTGTTCCGCTGTTGTCCGTGTTCTCGCTACCGCTGTCCGTGTTCTCGCTACCGTTGTCCGTGTTCTCGCTACCGCTGTCCGTGTTCTCGCTACCGTTGTCCGTGTTCTCGCTACCGTTGTCCGTGTTATCTCAACCGTTGTCCGTGTTCTCGCTACCGTTGTCCGTGTTCTAGCTACCGTTGTCCGTGTTCTAGCTACCGTTGTCCGTGTTCTCGCTACCGTTGTCCGTGTTCTCGCTACCGTTGTCCGTGTTCTCGCTACCGTTGTCCGTGTTATCTCAACCGTTGTCCGTGTTCTCGCTACCGTTGTCCGTGTTCTAGCTACCGTTGTCCGTGTTCTCGCTACCGTTGTCCGTGTTCTCGCTACCGTTGTCCGTGTTCTAGCTACCGTTGTCCGTGTTCTCGCTACCGTTGTCCGTGTTCTTGCTACCGTTGTCCGTGTTCACGCTAACGCTGTCCGTGTTCTCGCTACCGCTGTCCGTGTTATCGCTACCGTTGTCCGTGTTCTCGCTACCGTCGTCCGTGTTTTAGCTACCGTTGTCCGTGTTCTAGCTACCGTTGTCCGTGTTCTCTCAACCGTTGTCCGTGTTCTCGCTACCGTGGTTCGTGTTCTAGCTACCGTTGTCCGTGTTCTAGCTACCGTTGTCCGTGTTCTCTCAACCGTTGTCCGTGTTCTCGCTGCCGTGGTTCGTGTTCTAGCTACCGTTGTCCGTGTTCTCGCTACCGTTGTCCGTGTTCTCGCTACCGTTGTCCGTGTTCTAGCTACCGTTGTCCGTGTTCTCGCTACCGTTGTCCGTGTTCTCGCTACCGTTGTCCGTGTTCTAGCTACCGTTGTCCGTGTTCTCGCTACCGTTGTCCGTGTTCTCGCTACCGTTGTATCCTTGGTCTGTGGTTTCGTCCACCGTTGCCTGTTTCTGTGACTGTTTACTGTTATCTATGTTTTATCATAGTAAACACCCACTAAACTACCCACAACAACAACAAGCAGACTACCTTACTACCTTAACAAGCCTTGTTAAGACTACTTCAACAAGCACCAACACCACACACAAACAGCACCTGGGTCAGGGTAGGCCTAAGTTAAATGATTTACGAAATACTTGTAATCATTCACACATCTGATCTTCAATTCCAATTAAGTGTGAAATATGGGTTGAAATGTCCGGAGAGTTTTATGATAAATTATTTATTTCCCACCATCCGTCTAAGATCTCACGAGCACTGTGTCTACACCGACGGCTCAGTCCAGTCTTCTACTGGACGGACTGCAGCGGCATGTAGGTTTTATAGAAATAATATCTGCACAAAGTCTGTCAGTGTCAGCCTAAACAACTGGCTGACCTCCACACAAGCAGAACTAGCAGCATTACATTTAGCAACCAGCACATTAAAAAATATTGGAGGAGGAATAATATTCTGCGATTCAAAGTCTGCTCTTCAAGCAATCGAAAACTTCTCTTGGAAGATCGACAGCAAGAACCTAATACTCCCAATTATAAATGACCTAATTGATGCACAGAGTAAAGGGTCTCGAATCTCCTTTGTATGGATACCCTCACACATAAATATAACCCATCATAATGAGACAGACATTGCAGCCAAACTAGCGTGTAACAAGTTTGAAGTTGAATTAGATCTAGGTATCCCCATCTCTGCTGTCAAAACTGTATTGGTCCAAACATTCAGATCTGATAGGAAAGAACTTACTGACTCCCAACGACCTGAAAGTACTAGTATAAAAAGCTATGATTTGTTCAGATCTGAAACCTACATCTATGGACAGCACAAAACGTCCACTAGACTGTGCGACACAGTGGTTGCAAGGATCAGGTTGGGTTACCGTTACCTGTGGCAGGTGGCTGCAGGTGACGGGTCTCCCAATCCTGAGCACTCCAGTTGCAAACTCTGTGAGCAGGAACTACGGCATGATCTCCCGCACTACATCACTGAATGCCCAGTTATTAGACCTTTCAGACCAGTTGGCATGAGGTACCTGGAGCTTTGCAATTACTTTATTCACTCTCGTATTCTTGAAGATATCCTCACAGTATACCCAAAATTTGCCAGTGCAGGCTATTAAACACATGGCCCTGTATGACTAACCATCCTGCGAGATGGGGACTTGTATTACCACTGCTACCTTATTCAATCTTGTGTTGTTGATATCCTCAAAATGCATCCGGAGTCTGCCAGTGCAGACCGCCTATCACATGTCTCTGTATGACTAACCATCCTGTGTGATGGGGATTTTATAGCATCACCTAGTTAGCTTTTTTGACACACTGTACTCCACTTCATATAGTCTAGGGTAGCTGCACTAATGCAGATGTACCTCATAACTTAATAAAAAAAAAAAAAATCCCACCATCCTGCGAGATGGGGACTTTTGGTATCACTGCTATCTTATTCACTCATGTGTTGATGATATCCTCATAATGCACCCAGAGTCTGCCAGTGCAGACCGCCTATCACATGTCTCTGTATGACTAACCATCCTGTGTGATGGGGATTTTATAGCATCACCTAGTTAGCTTTTTTGACACACTGTACTCCACTTCATATAGTCTAGGGTAGCTGCACTAATGCAGATGTACCTCATAACTTAATAAAAAAAAATACCTGTGGCAGGTGGCAACCGTTACCTGTGGCAGGTGGCTACCGTTACCTGTGGCAGGTGGCTACCGTTACCTGTGGCAGGAGGCTACCAATACCTGTGGCAGGTGGCTACCGTTACCTGTGGCAGGTGGCTACCGTTACCTGTGGCAGGTGGCTACCGTTACCTGTGGCAGGTGGCTACCGTTACCTGTGGCAGGTGGCTACCGTTACCTGTGGCAGGTGGCTACCGTTACATGTGGCAAGTGGTTACCGTTACCTGTGGCAGGTGGTTACCGTTAACTGTGGCAGGTGGTTACCGTTACCTGTGGCAGGTGGTTACCGTTACCTGTGGCAGGTGGCTACCGTTACCTGTGGTAGGTGGCTACCGTTACCTGTGGCAGGTGGTTACCGTTACCTGTGGCAGGTGGTTACCGTTACCTGTGGCAGGTGGTTACCGTTACCTGTGGCAGGTGGCTACCGTTACCTGTGGCAGGTGGCTACCGTTACCTGTGGCAGGTGGCTACCGTTACCTGTGGCAGGTGGTTACCGTTACCTGTGGCAGGTGGTTACCGTTATCTGTGGCAGGTGGCTACAGTTACCTGTGGCAGGTGGCTACAGTTACCTGTGGCAGGTGGTTACCGTTACCTGTGGCAGGTGGTTACCGTTACCTGTGGCAGGTGGCTACCGTTACCTGTGGCAGGTGGCTACCGTTACCTGTGGCAGGTGGCTACCGTTACCTGTGGCAGGTGGTTACCGTTACCTGTGGCAGGTGGCTACTGTTACCTGTGGCAGGTGGCTACCGTTACCTGTGGCAGGTGGCTACCGTTACCTGTGGCAGGTGGCTACCATTACCTGTGGCAGGTGGCTACCATTACCTGTGGCAGGTGGCCACCGTTACCTGTGGCAGGTGGCTACCGTTACCTGTGGCAGGTGGCTACCATTACCTGTGGCAGGTGGCTACCATTACCTGTGGCAGGTGGCTACCGTTACCTGTGGCAGGTGGCCACCGTTACCTGTGGCAGGTGGCTACCGTTACCTGTGGCAGGTGGCCACCGTTACCTGTGACAGGTGGCTACCGTTACCTGTGGCAGGTGGCTACCATTACCTGTGGCAGGTGGCTACCATTACCTGTGGCAGGTGGCTACCGTTACCTGTGGCAGGTGGCTACCGTTACCTGTGGCAGGTGGCTACCGTTACCTGTGGCAGGTGGCTACCGTTACCTGTGGCAGGTGGGTACCGTTACCTGTGGCAGGTGGGTACCGTTACCTGTGGCAGGTGGGTACCGTTACCTGTGGCAGGTGGCTACCGTTACCTGTGGCAGGTGGGTACCGTTACCTGTGGCAGGTGGCTACCGTTACCTGTGGCAGGTGGGTACCGTTACCTGTGGCAGGTGGTTACCGTTACCTGTGGCAGGTGGCCACCGTTACCTGTGGCAGGTGGCTACCGTTACCTGTGGCAGGTGGCTACCGTTACCTGTGGCAGGTGGCTACCGTTACCTGTGGCAGGTGGCTACCGTTACCTGTGGCAGGTGGCTACCGTTACCTGTGGCAGGTGGCTACCGTTACCTGTGGCAGGTGGCTACCGTTACCTGTGGCAGGTGGCTACCGTTACCTGTGGCAGGTGGCTACCGTTACCTGTGGCAGGTGGCTACCGTTACCTGTGGCAGGTGGCTACCGTTACCTGTGGCAGGTGGCTACCGTTACCTGTGGCAGGTGGCTACCGTTACCTGTGGCAGGTGGCTACCATTACCTGTGGCAGGTGGCTACCGTTACCTGTGGCAGGTGGCTACCATTACCTGTGGCAGGTGGCTACCGTTACCTGTGGCAGGTGGCTACCGTTACCTGTGGCAGGTGGCTACCGTTACCTGTGGCAGGTGGCTACCGTTACCTGTGGCAGGTGGCTACCGTTACCTGTGGCAGGTGGCTACCGTTACCTGTGGCAGGTGGCTACCGTTACCTGTGGCAGGTGGCTACCGTTACCTGTGGCAGGTGGCTACCGTTACCTGTGGCAGGTGGCTACCGTTACCTGTGGCAGGTGGCTACCGTTACCTGTGGCAGGTGGCTACCGTTACCTGTGGCAGGTGGCTACCGTTACCTGTGGCAGGTGGCTACCGTTACCTGTGGCAGGTGGCTACCGTTACCTGTGGCAGGTGGCTACCGTTACCTGTGGCAGGTGGCTACCGTTACCTGTGGCAGGTGGCTACCGTTACCTGTGGCAGG